AATGAAAAAAAAAAAGTATTAACTAGGGACCAAAAATGTAATTCACTCTATTTTTTATGATGTTAATTTGCAAAATATATATATATATATATATATACTAGAAGGGTACTAGCACAATGTAGCAAGATATATTTCGATTTTAGTATTTCGTTTTTTTTTGTCTTAGTCGATGTTATAATACGGTTTTATGTGGTTTTGAAAAAGAGATAATGTTTTTATTTTTGAATAAAATATAAATATGAAGATATTATAAAAAAATATTGATATTGGCATCAAACTAATTATTTAAAATTTCTTTTTTTTTTGTGTATTTCTTTAATTCATTTTTTTTATTTTTGGTTTAATAATATAATTTTTTATAAAGATAATAATTAAGTATTTTGTTAGAACTAAATGATTATTCTAATTATATTTTAGTTTTTTATATTTAAAATGAAATGTTTATCCTCTATTTGATTATGTTTATCTGAAATTAGTTACACAAATTCAAACATGAAGTTTTAATAAGTTGCACTTACACACAATTTACTTGTAGTCTTAAATTTTAAGTAATATGTACAAATTTATATTATAATCTTAACTTTTGTTTTAAATATATACATAAATAGATCAAAGATATGACAAATTTTATAAAAAAAAAAACATTTAGGGATCATATTTGACCGTAAATAACACATGACTTATTTTTTTTTTTTGTTTATGTGGAAATATCAGTTGTTTTAAAAAAGTTTATACCTTTTCATATATCAATAAAATGACAAATTAACCCTTCCTCTTTCTATATATAGAGACAACTCCGTTACCATTTTCCATTCAATCATGAGTACTCATCAATTCAAAACCGACGGTCTAAGAACCGAGAACAACAATCCTAACGATATGCAAGAACGCCCTTCGCTTTTTAGTTGTTTTCTCGAAGTCCTCTCCCTTCTCTTCTCCCCACTAAATGATGACAGCGATCGCCATCTCATCATGATACCAGAAGACACAGATATTAGTGAAAAAGACGATGTCTCTTCTAATATTATAGCACAAAAGCATTTCAGACAACTTCATCATATAAAAAGTCAATGATCGACCACCCCTCATCAAATTCCGCCATATACATCCATCGTTTCTTGCTCCACAAGTTGGTGTTCAAATTGACTTGTAGAGTAATTTGAATTTATGAGGTCCAAAATCAAGTGTGACTATTGTTGAACGGTAAGATTGATGAACTAGAAGCGTTGAGCTCGAATGTCATAATTTTGTATTGTCTGATGAAATTTTCTTGAAACAATAATAAGTTAAAGTTTAATTAGTCTCGTGTAGTAAGTGAAAGAGTTTGACTTTAAGCACCATGTTCTTATGCATGTAGAAAAATTAATTACATGCTATTATACTATATGGCAAGATGGAAACTTGGACTTTTTTTAACTACGAGTGTCCAGACTAACCTTATAGGTCCCGAAATTTAGCAATCAGATAAAACCTTCAATAACCCTAAGAAGACTTTAATTTCTGGATCTTTGGGAGCAACGTAAGAAAATTGTTGGATGATGTCGTTTTTTCAATTTGAAAACTTATTATAATCAAAAAAAGTTGTATGCTCAATCATTTCTTTAAATTGATACAGAGGTTTATCCACTGTAGCACGTCAAAACTGTGTATCTATCTGTCACCGTTGACGACTCATATTTTTGGTTGAATTGTGTAACGATTTGATCTTACAAATCATCTAGTTAATTAGGATTTAACTATATAATATTTTGATCCATTTTGGCACCGTCGTTTATTTTTTTTTATAAAAATTATCACGTGTCATTATAAACCAATGGTATCTAAGGTTCATGTTTTCTCTTGATCGTCTTTTGTTAAGGTTTTTATTTTCGGTACGCTATATGATTCCTTATATGTTGTTAAATACATCTTTAAGTCTGCTTCGGAGAATCTGATTCTACTTTCATGCCACCAAGGGTCATTCGACACTTGCTTGACGAGAACCCGAATGAAGACAGATACTTATTAATTTTCTTCTCACACACATCAACATCAAAACGTATTTTTTATATTTTCAATACATGATTTAATCTAATTTTAACATACAATAAATCAAATGTATGCAGCATTCTTTCATTTCATGACATGTAAAGGTTACAATAATCCAGTTTTCAGCATCAATGAGAGTATGACGATGGTGGGGAGGCATATTTGTTACATGTGGCTAAAGAAGAGAATATGGGTGGGCACAAAAACTAGTGATATATAAAAAGCAGATTCACGAATATATAATATAATGTAATGGAGTTTGCATAGGTAAAAAAAATTAGGTTCGTAAAAGGTGCAACCGTTTTATATGATGTCATCATATCCAAAAATTCTTGGGTTCGTCCCTGGTTGCATGGGGGATAAAAGAGGAAAAAGTAAGGTATCATGATTACATTTTTTTTTTATCTCTTATCTTCTTTTAAAGAAAAAGATCATTAAGTATAATAAAGCAAGATTGATATGGGACCTTGTACACCTTTTCTTTCATATTTGTCAAGTTTATACTAGAAAAGTAATAAAATAAGAGAAAATAAAAAATGGTTAAATCATATGTGATTTACATCAAAGGTCGCGAGCCACGTCGCCTGCACACTAATTGAATTGACCGGTACTGTAAAATCATAGATGATTTTACACATGATTTTGTCGTTTTCGTGTTCTCTTATTTGATTATTGTTTTCGCTTGAACCTCTTCATACATACATACATATATATATATACATACATACATATATATACATACATACATACATATATATATATATAGAGAGAGAGAGAGAGAGGAGGGGAGGTTATATATAGAGGGAGAGGTTCAAATGAGTGTTAAATGATGTATGACAAAAAGAGAAAAAGAAAAATGATATCAGCCATTGAATCAAATGATCAAATTTTTTCTAAAGGAAGGGTAAATAGGTAATTAGCAAAAACAAGGGAGATATATGATCAATATACTGTCATCGTCAATGACAACAATGAAATTCTAATCGGCGGTATATGATCTCAATCCCATTAGCGATTCTAACAAATCAAATTCAGTTTTATGGAAATTATATCATCAAATTTTCTCTTGATTCTTTCTCAATCATATATCGCAATTCTATGTTATCAAATTTCTTAATTCTTTTTCGATCAAATCTTCTATCCTTCCAATATGAATTCAAGTCCAGAAAGCGACCTTGGACAAGATGTTGATTTTGACCGTAAAACTATAATGCTATATGTGAATCTAAGATTAATATGAGAACCAATTAAATAGTTCAAATCGTGAATCTGTTAAATACTTCCCTTTTCACACGATGTTTTGCATTTACATACATACATATACATATATGAACTTGTGTAACGTCTTTTTAAAGAGACAATGAAGGAATTGGAAATGGGTAAAAAGAGATTTCCGTACATGTTGTAAAGCATATTTAACTATATAAATACAAAGATGACGTGCTTTGATTCTAGTTTGAGTATCGATCATAGACTTTTGGCCAAAAACCTAAGCCATATGATTTGATTCTAGTTCATGTATCATTTACTTGATATATATATATATATATATAGAGAGAGAGAGAGAGAGATAAAGAGAGAGAGAGAGAGAGCTTGTTTCAAATACAACCTATCGCATTTGTACAACTAATGCAACCCAATAAATTAAGATATTTATGGAAATGATGAAAGTTCATTTATTATGATTTGAATATTTATGGAACATGAATATGATTCATTAATTATGATCAATATTTTATATTAGAAAACAATTAAAACTTCTATAAAATCACATATTAATCAAATGAAATGAACAGTTGAGATTGAGTTGTATTGGTTGCACAAATGTTAAAGATTGTATAATAACCAACCTCCCCCTCTCTCTCTCTCTCTCTCTCTCTCTCTCTCTATATATATATATATATATATATATATATAAGATAAAGTGGTTTCTATTTGTTCACATCCATATTATTAGTTATTATTTATAGGATCCAATATTTTGCATAATTGTCTATATATTTCACTTAAAAACACTGCTTAATTATAAGCATATTGTTAGCAAGAGCCAATCTTGGAAATCTTGTTGTAGGTTGTTATGTATTTCCTTTTCTTGATCCATGAATTAAGGTCATACCATAGATAGATAGTTACCTCCTTATATAAATACTTGTACTCCTATTTGGTGAAGAATATAGAAAAAATATACTCTCTCTCTCTCTCTCTCTCTCT